AAGCCGGTGCGCAATGAAGAAGTGCGCGCAGCGGCAAACTGTTTTGTTTTCGTGTGTACACGACTAATGCGCATGCTCCGTTGGGTGTGTGTGCGCATCCATAGAGACGTGGACAAAAAAACCCCACCTTATGTGCAAGGGGACATGGGCGGGCGCCGGATGCCACCGGAAACGCGATCAGATGCCCACCCTTGCCCCGCAGTTTCCGGAAACTAGTACCTCCGAGGTACTAGTTTTTTGCCAGGCAGTTTCGGCTGGAAGCCTCGGTTGAGCCACGGGAGTGCTATGCTTCCCAGATGTGCTGGTGAGATCGCGCCCGGAAACTCCGCCTGTTTTCCGTCTCACTTGTGTGGCTTCTGTTCCGTGTGACCGCGGCCTAAATACGGTAACCCTGGATTTCCGTGGTGGTCTCCCATTCAAGTAGTAACCAGGGTCAACCCTGCTTAGCTTCAGAGATCTGATGAGTTCAGGCATCAGATATCTTAATCAAAGAACAAAACCTAGAAATCACTATGTTACCATTGGGGGGGGGGGGTAACACTATGGGACCTGTTAAACTTAAACATATTTTAGGACCCCAGGCCTCTGGAAGTTCATTTAAATAAATTAGGGATTAACGGGTTGGCATTTTATAAAGCAACCTCTCCCTCCTTTCCACTCATTTTTATTTGTGGCGGTGTTGCCAATTTTACCCTACCTTTTACCCTCTAAGGCTCAGTTTTCTAATATTCTAAAAACAAAAAAAGAACATTTTGAATTCAAAAATATAGCTAAAATATCCCCATGTTTATCTCCAGTTTCCAACTATTAGCCAAAATAATGTCTTAGAAAGACAATGGTTTAGGCTTTGACAGAAATTGCACAATCTCAAAAGACTTAAGTTTCAAGAGTGAAGAAGCAACCTCCCCTTTCTGAATGGCCTCACCCCTGCTGTCATTTTCTTATTAGAAACATGATAGACATTAGTAAGAGGTCCCCTCCTTAGATACAGAACTGGCAATATCTTGATGAGACATCAGGGAAGAGTCAGATGATAGACTTATTGTTGATATTATTACTAATCCTGGAATAAGATGTCCTGTACTTACTCCAACTTCTGATTTGATTGCGAACGAATCAAAAGCTGAAGAGAGTTAAAATGAAGACAGGGAACTCTGGTAAAATCAAAGGCTCTTGACTAAAGTTGAGACGAAATAAGTGGTGCTTTTTGTGAAAGTTTTGGGGCCCCTGAAAAGTGGCATATGCTGAGTTGGGGAGGGGGAGAGAAACAAGTATTTGTCCATGGCTTGAGGTCAGGAATAGGAATACATCCTCACATTGCTGAGGCAAATGAATGGCACTTCCAAATTCCCACACTGTGGCAGTTTTCTTGTATGCAGTCAACGTGCACTGCAGCAATGTCATTGCTGAGTCATCCTAGCGTCTGATTAGGCAAGATGTTAAATGTGAGTTGGACTGGGGAAACCTAAACACAACTTGCATTTAACATGGGACCCAGCACTCACCTTTAAAATAGCATGTTGGAAATTAGGTCCCGGGTACTGTGTGGGAGCTGCGGTGGCTCAAGTGGTTAAGACGCTGAACTGCAGGCTGTGGAAGGTTGATAGTTCAGCAGTTCGAGACCCAAGTTGCCACATGACGGAGTGAGCTCCCATCTCTAGTTCCAGCTCCTGCCAACCTAGCAGTTCGAAAGCAAGAAATTGCAAGTAGATAAATAGGTACCATTTCAGTGGGAAGGTAACAGTGTTCCGTGCGCCTTGGTGTTTAGTCATGCGGGCCACATGACCACGGAAACGTCTTCGGACAGTGCTGGCTCTTCGGCTTTGAAATGGAGATGAGCACCGCAACCCTAGAGTCGGATTCGACTGGCTTTCGAGCAAGGGAACCTTTACCTTTACCTTACTGTGTGGCAGCAGGAAGGGCTTCATCATTCCCTTCCTTCCACCCCACACACTTTTGCTAGCCTCCCCATGGCCCTTTTCTGCTAGTGAAAGCTCGTGGGGTGGAAAGTTGGGAATAATGAAGCCCATCCTGCCTCTGTGCTGTGCTCAGGAGCCAATTTGGCCCTTACATACTATAGTTTAGATGAGTGCCTCATCACATGTTAAAAATTAGTTGGATTGGGGTTTCCCTCAACCCCACTCATTTTTAATACCTCATCTAATCAACCCTTTAATAACTGCTGATCAGCTCAGCAATAGTGGGCAATGAAACCTCCACAGGACAAGGTAACTGGGAGGCAGGCTGGTTGCCCTTAAATACTTGAGGCTCTTCTTGAAAACTGTTCAGAAGCGGCCACTCATTTGTTACCAGGAGCAGGACAAAAAACACAAAAGAATTCTTATCAAGTTACTCCCGCTGCCAATTTACCTATAGCCACAAAACCCTCTATGACCTGACCCGGCCTAAACATTCTTTGGGGAATGCCTTATCCCCATTTACCATTTTTTAGATTGCTATCTCATAGAAATTAAGACCTGTGTTTGCACGGAGTAGGACTTTTTAGAGCTCATCAACCATTACTGCAGTGAATATTGGGAAAGTTGGAACCCCACATGCTGTTCCTACTTCTGGCATGCACAAAATGGATTTGAAGTCTGAATTAGGATGCATATGCAGCTGCGTGCACACAGGAATTCTCCCCTGATCTGGAATATCATATGACAATACCCTCACACCTGTACAGTACTATGTTCATCATCAGTATTCTGACTTTTAGGTTCACATGTGGAAAGACAAAATCAGGCACAGCAAATGTAATTTCCTCCCCTCTTCACCTCCCCTGCCCAGAGATGCAATAATATATGAAAAAGGTTTGTCTGCGATGGGGCCAGAGTTCTGAAAAGCACTGGTATAAGGGAATTTAAAGACGACATATTTTTCTGTCATATTAGACATTCTGGTATTCTGTTCAGGATACGTCCTGCTTAATTTCCCCTGCAGTTTGTATTATCTGCATAAAGTCTTGTGCAGTGTGTTATTGCTAAGTGACATTGTTTAATTGTTTAGCACAATGGCTAGCCATACAAAATAGCACACTATACAAAACCAAATGCAGTGCACTTTCGTACAAATATCCATCTGGTATTAATGCCTCGCTTCTCCTGGTACTACAGAATTAGAATCCCTTGCAATGAAATCCATCACCTCAAAGGGAAGCAAGTGCAATGGTCCTTTTCAGCTGAGCATTTGATATGAAATAAGCATGACTGGGGAGCATTTGATATGAAAATGGAAAAACCAAGTTACCCATCGTACATGCCCAGATAATTTAATTAATCGTAAGTTGTTGTTATTCTTGTTAATCACACCATCCCAGCTCACGCCAGGCTCTGGGCAATGTACAGCAGAGGAACAAAGCCATAAACCAAATGTACAAAACATTAAAAATTCAAATATAACAAAAATAGAATGAAAAAAGAAAACCAGGTTAAAAAGAAGTCCTAGATGAGGTCCTTAAAAATTTCATCCCAGTTCTGGACTGGCTGACCACTTTCTGGGCAGGGGGAGAGGAAACACAAGATCAGAATTAAGGGGAAGGGGAAAGGGAGAGGGTGCCAGCTACAAGAGAAAACCACTGCTGTCCTCAACCACAAGCCTGGAGTAACATCTCTGCCTTCCAGGCTCTGTGGAATTGCAAAGGATCCCACAGAGCTCTGGTGGTATTAGGCAGAGAGTTCCACCAGGTCAGGGCCAGGACCTTTTTGGTCAAGGACAGCTGGACATCTTTGGGGCCAAGGATCACCAGCAGGTTGTTACCTGCAGAGTGTAAAGCTCTCCTGAGGACGTACCAGAGGAGAAGCTCCCACAGATATGTTGGTCCCAGACAGAGGTCCTTTCGGGGGGGAATGCGGGGGAACACAGTTCCCCCGGGTGAGGTGCAGGGGTGGGGCACATGACGAAGCCCCGCCCCCAGGGCCAGGGCCTTTTTGGTCAAAGACAGCTGGACATCTTTGGGGCCAAGGATCACCAGCAGGGTGTTACCTGCAGAGTGTAAAGCTCTCCTGAGGACGTACCAGAGGAGAAGCTCCCACAGATATGTTGGTCCCAGACCACTCAAGGCTTCCAAGGTCAATACCAAAACCTTAAACCTGACTCAATACTCGGCAGGAAGCCAGTGTAGCTGGCACAGCACAAGTTGAAAATATGCTGTTCATGATGTTCCCATCAGAACTTGCACCGCCACATTCTGGATCAGCTGGAGTTTCCGGTGTCAGTCTCTGTGGTATGCCAGCATAGAGTGAGTTGCAGTAGTCAAGCCTGGAGGAAGCCATTGCATGGATTACCATAGCTAGGTCAGGCCACAACAAGAAAGAAACCACTTGCTGAGCTTGGCGTAGATGGAAAAAATGCCAGCCTGGCAACATGTGTGACCTGGGCCTCCATAGTTAAGGAGGGATCCAAAATCATGCCCAAACTCTTGACGGATGGTGCCAGTATCAGTCTGGCCTGGATTCCAATCCCAAAGCCAACCCCCCCCCCCGCCACCGAACCTCCATCCTCATTGGATTCAGTCTCAGCCTTAATAAAAGAACAGCGGCATGATCCACATACATATGCTCCATAGGAGGAATCTGGTTACCAGGTTCAGCAGAGCTTCCTGTTCTCCTTACATGGTGAGAGGAATTGTTTTTGGTCTGGAGCTGTGGGTAGGAGAGGTTCAACAGGATGGGAAATCTATTGCAGATGCTGGCTTCCTGTTGCAAATATTGGCCAGCATGCTGAAATGCTTCTGGGAGTTTGCAGCTGAGCATCAGCTAGGGAAGCAGAGGGAAGGAAGAGAGCACCACTGGACTCCACGATGATCTTCCATCATAACTGCAGCATGTGGGGATGAATATTGCCCTGTGAGTGGGTATGCTCTATTTGCTTTGCATCTTGTGAAACAATAGCAAACATGTCTGAGGATTTGGGGATTCTGTTTTTCAAGCGGTATTTGGAAACATTGTCAAAAGGCATGGATTATTCTTTAAAACTTTGTAATATCATTTATTTGCCAGGAACCAGCAGCTGGTCTAGGTTGTGGAAGAAATATGGTCCTCGTTTACCTCTTAATGATCTTTGCTTATACGTTTCATCCACGGATGTTGAAGAGATGCTTAATGTGGCTGGACTGAAGTATCAGTCATATGACCTTCCATCTAATATGGACATAACAGATTGTTTTACTGAAGGAAATGAAAAGGGGGAGCTGATGCTTGATTTTTTGACAGAAACTTGTCATTTTAGTCAAACTGCCCCACTTGACCTAAAAAAGGAATTGGTGGAAGACCTGAAAAATCTTTACAGTGAAAATATAGGAGGAAGGTATTTTTTCAATAATACCCTGAGTGCAATAGTGGTTGAATCCTCAAAATGATTCAAATGGATTCTTCTGAGATAAGAAATGGAATAGTTTTCTTACTGTTCAATATTTTAATAGCAATGGAAAGTAAAAAAAAACTTTTAACTGTTTATTAATTCTTTGTCTGTGGATAAATCTAGGTGTAACAATATTAGGAGATAATTGTCTGTGGTTGTAAGTAGCTGCTTAACAATATTGTTATGAATGCATATTAAAATTCTGTTAATAGATTAATACATAATCTTCTGAGTCATGTAACATTATCCTTATATGTAGTCTGTTTCCATGTGATACGATCATTAATCAAAACTCGAGAAATGGAAATCACAGGTCTACACACCTCTGATTGATGGGAAAGATATTGTAATGACCTTGATCACCCTTTTATGATGAAATATATAGAACATGAAAAGCGATTCTAAATAATGCCTTTCAGTAGCTTTTGCGGTTATTATACCAAGTATTTCAACACCTTAAAAAGCAAGTTCTATTCCCACCTTTTAGTTGTATTTCATTTTTGGTTCAGGCCAACAGTTTGCTTGGCAGGGTCAGGAAACTAGTAGCATGGAAGAAGAGTACAACTTTCCTTACTACTGGAAGAGGCAAGTCAAGAAAAAGGGAAATCCTGATCAAGTGGTATAGTCATGTCCATTTACAGTATTTATTCAAATACAGAACTAGTCCACCCCCTCCAAGATGTGCCATAAAAAGGGAGGGAAAGGCCTTACATTTGCAAACAAGTTTCAATTACGTCCAATAATATGTGTATGTAACATTTTAAGGGGTTTGTCTTACATTAAGGATTGTCTTCCCTTCAAGTAAATACATCAGTTATTCTGGTGAAAGTAGAAATGTCCAAATAAAGAAGGGATCTCATTCAGGATCATTGTACACTTTTTGGCAGTTCAAGCAGTTGATTAAATTGGGGGTGTCATAGGGGTGATGGGTCACTGGGCTTGAGAGCCAGTTTGGTGTAGTGGTTAAGTGTGTGGACTCTAATCTGGGAGAACCGGGTTTGATTCCCCACTCCTCCACTTGCACCTGCTGATGTGACCTTGGGTCAGTCACAAGCTCTGGCACAGCTGTTCCTAAAAGAGCAGTTTGTGTCAGAGTTCTCTCAGCCCCACCCACCTCACAGGGTGTCTGTTGTGGGGAGGGGAAGGGAAAGGAGTTTGTAAGCCGATCTGAGACTCCAAGTGAAGGGCGAGGTATTCTTCTTCTTCTTGTTGTGCATATAAACCTACTGTATATAATATGTAACTTAAGAGATGGGGTAAGAGATAGCTCTCGCTTGGTGTATCCAACTCATGCGTGTGGCTAGTGTCCCATCTCACACATACCATATAATTTGCTAATGGTGTGAACTAGCAATGAAAGGTGCCTCAAAATCTTTGCTCTCTCACAGAGATTTCAGGAGAAACTCAGAACTCAGGCATGAGTTTCCATTAGAGTCATATAAACATAATGCCTGCCTATCTCAGCTCCTTCCTTGTCTTCTTCTATGATGGGACTGCATGTCATAGTACATGGGGGAGTGGAGTACCAGAGGGAAGAAGCTGAGGGAAAGCATAGGAATCACAGGTGGGTGGTACAGGGGTAGGTGATGCCTCTTAACCTTATATTAAAAAACTGCCCAAAGGATTGTGTGTATGGAGCTTGATGAAGCCATGGCCTTCTACATTTATTCAATTCATAGACCACTTTCCTGTACACATAGCACTCAGAGCGGTGAACAGCATTTCAGTAGATTACAGTCAAATCAACAAACAGTTAAAATTACAAAAAAATCCAATAGCTATTACAAGATGACACTTAAAGCCATTTCTTACCTATAGGTAAAGGTAAAGGTTCCCTTGCTCGAAAGCCAGTCGAGTCTGACTCTAGGGATGCGGTGCTCATCTCCGTTTCAAAGCCGAAGAGCCAGCGCTGTCCGAAGACGTTTCCGTGGTCATGTGGCCGGCATGACTAAACACCAAGGCGCACGGAACGCTGTTACCTTCCCACCGAAGTGGTACCTATTTATCTACTTGCAATTTCTTGCTTTCGAACTGCTAGGTTGGCAGGAGCTGGAACTAGAGATGGGAGCTCTAGAAGGAAGGGTAAAAGGAGGAGAACAGGGAGAGGCCAAGCACAGTGGAAACCATTGCTGTCCTCAGCCATAGGCCTGGGGGATATTCGATACTATTTTCCAGTTTGATGGGGGACAATTCAGGGATTCAAGGCTTCCGAAGATTTGTGGAGCAGTAGATTCTGCTTTTGCCAAGTCCTGCAGGATGCAGATGACATTTGGCAGAGAGTTCGACCAGACCATCGCCAGGGCTGAAAAGGCCTTGGCTCTGGTCAAGGACAACCAGATATCCTTTTGGCCAGGTATCACTAGAAGATTCTTCTTTCCAGAGTGTTATGCTCTTTTGGGGGTATACTAGGAGAGGCGGTCCTGTAGATACATGGTCCCAGACCATTTAGGGTCTTAAAGTCCCTACTGTAGCCTGTTTCATAAACTGCTAAAGAACAATATTTCAGATATTCCATACTATTTTCCAGTTTGATAGGGGACAATTCTGGGATTCAAGGCTGCCAAAGATTTGTGGAGCAGTAGATTCTGCTTTATCCTCAGTTAGGAGCATGGATTGGGGGGGAAGCCTTTAAGCAGGTACAAAGTCTTCAATTACTGAATGAGAACTTGCTCCCCATGAATCAAGGATTTACATGCCAGCATACTTCATTTTACAAATTAAGCAGTGACTGTAACTATGCTGGAGAAACTCCATGATGAAGGGTGGTCATCTGGTAGCTTTGTCTGTATCCACACTAACCCTATCCACACTTGGGGAATATAAGAGCAGGAAAAAGTACCAACCTCTCATTTCACTCTCTCCTAGCCTCATTTGGTACACGATCCAGATTTGCATGTTTTATTCTGCCAACAGCCTGAACTCCTTCCAAAGGGGATTTTTAGACAGGATGATGTTTCTTCTCTGTAGTCACCTGATTGACTAATGTAGGGTAGTTAAAGCTATGGATCATCTATTCCATTCCTCAAAATAAAGCATACGTTGCTCAGATCAGCGTGTAGCAAAAGGATATGATTTAAGATGATCCCTTGGCAATGACATTCACAGTTTTTGCACAGGCGAAATGGCGTTCGTGCTTCATGTCAGTTTCCCAAATGTTGGCAGGAGCAGATTAATGTATGTGCTAATGGTGTGCACTTTCCTCAGTGTCTGAGGTTTAAAAGCCACACCGTCTTTTTGTTTTGCTTGCTTTTGCTTTGAGCATGCTTGTATCATTGTTGTGGTGTCGCTAATGAACACAATCCAGAATTTTTTGGCTGCAATAAAAATAAGCTGTATTTTATAGGCATTGCTGTTCTATCTGCTGTAGTACACAGTGATGGATATGACCAACTGTAACCTTTCAGCTCACATTTATCAGTAGGGATTTTTTTTTAAAGATAGCTGAAGGTTATTAACTGTTTCTCATTCCAATGTTGCTGAATGAAGGAGGGAGTCTCAGTGCTTGTGTTTTTTAAATAAATCTTTGCCAAAGATATTGACATCAGTAGTTCACATATTTATTTTGCTTTTATGATTTTTGTGGTCACCAACAAAACTGTTCAGATAAACTGAAAGCAACTGAGTGTTTGAATGAATGCAATACCCCTACAGAATATGATTAGCTACTTTGAGGCCTTTTGCTTGTAAAGTACTCATGGCAAAAGAGAAAATGAAGGATCCTTTTGGAGCAGCTGATGGGGATATATAAGTTGGATGTGAACACTGTGATACACACCTGGTTCCGAGTGAATGTGATTTGTATCTGTTGCAGTAAAGGTGACTCAGCGTACCTAAACACTGGAGAGCGCTACATTTTCTCTTTGCTTTAGAATTTACGTATATGTTGTCTTCTTACTGAAGGATGCTTCTCCTTGTTTAAGCTGGGAATCCTCATTCTCCTCCTATTCCTTTGGCCTATCACACATGCACAACTTACTGCAGAGAATCCAAGCAATCAAGCCTTTGAGCTTGACTGGATTCTGTGGCTGCCGTACAAACCATTCTTTTTTCTCTGGTGTATTTATTCTGCAGCTACAACCAACCCCCCCCCCCACACACACACACAGTTTTTCTTAATTGGTGTTTGAGAGGGCAACCCAGCCAAGATCACTATGCCTGCAGGAAGCTGATGGTTCAACCCGGGTGTCAGGAGAGGGCAGCACCGTTGGGAGTAATTTCTTCCCCCCACCCCAACAATCTGAAACTAGATAGTCTTGTATCACAAGATTCATGCCGCTCATTTTAAAAACAACACATTCAAATGTAAAACAACGAGGGACACACTGATGAGTGGCGGAAGGTGCAGAGTGGGTAGAACAACCTGGATGTGGACATGGGAGTGGCTATCAGGGGGGCAGGAAAAAAGAGGCAGAGAGGGAAATCCAAGGGAATCTGTGTGCTTTTAAATTACTTTTGGCTTGGAAACGAAACAAGGGAAAACCCGAATTTGTAGGTGACACATAATTCTTTATGATGGTGAAACCCAAAGCAGACTGTGAAGATCTCCCCCAATTAGTTGAAAGGGTAATGATGCGGCCAATGAATTTAAAGGGATACACAAAGGAAAAAAAATTAAATCATAGTTTATACTGATGGTGCCTGAACGGATGGCATCTGTAGAGTGGGAGAAAAGCAGGGTAAAATGTTTAAATAAATGGATTTAAAGGGATACACAAAGGAACAAAATTTAAATCATAGTTTATACTGATGGTACCTGAACGGATGGCATCTGTAGAGTGGGTGAAAAGCAGGGTAAAATGTTTAAATAAATAAATAAATAAAGCATTAATGCCCTTCTTATTAATGCCCTTCACCCCCCCTGGGTTCCGGTTGCTCCCCCCCCCCCCCATCGGCTCCATTGGTTTGAAAGTCCTCTGCAAAGGATTCTGCTGTAAGTTTGTTACCCTAAATATGTTGTGATATTTGTTGTTATGCAGTATAAATAATTATGCAAGCAAA